ATACACTCCAGCAAAGCTGATGTTTGGTCGGGAACTTCGGTTGCCAGTGGATCTGTTAATAGGACGCCCACCTTATGAAGAGTTACCTGAGAATGTGTCAGAGTTTGTGAAAGTGTTATCGGAAAGCATGGATGATATTCACCATCAAGTGCGTTCAAACTTGAAAACGTCTGCTGATTCCATGTAGCTATGTTATGATAAGAGATCTACTGAAGTCAGCTTTGTACCAGGAGACAAGGTGTGGTTGTATAATCCCAGGAAGACCAAAGGGAAGTCTCCTAAGTTGTCTTCTCCATGGGAAGGCCCATATGACATAATGGATCGTCTCTCAGACGTGACTTTCCGAATAAAATTTCGTCGGCGAGACAAGCCAAAGGTGGTGCATGCCAACAGGCTTTGGCATTATCATGGTCCAGGACATTTCAGTTGGGACGAAGTGAATAATGGAACAACGTTGCTGAAGACGTGTCACCTGAAAATGGCACTGTCGAAGAAGAAATTCTACTTGGTTTTGAGAAGGAAAACAGTGAAGCCCTTCATGAAGTTACTACCACTGATGTGACTATTACAGATATTAGGACAATTCCTGATGGAGCAGATGAACCTCACTTGAAGGAGATGCCAACGACACAGAGACCAGTACAGAAGAAGATACGTCCCGCAAAATTAAGAGACTTTGTTGAATTTTAATTTTGTTTTTATAAATTCTGTCCATTTAATTAAGTTATTGTTACTTATCTATTGGTTTAATTTAAGTGGCTATTGTTCGGAACGAACAATACTAAGGAAGGGGCAGTGTTACAACAGCGGAAGTCACGTGACGCTGGTAACGCGTAATGAGTATCTAGAAAGTTCCTGAAGGCTCGAGTGTTTGCCAGATGCCCTCTATTTTGTATATATAAGACCGGCAAGAAGTGACGGCATAGATAATTGCAGAGACAGAGACGGACAATTGAGTCAAGCGCTGTAGTGACCGCAAGTAAAGTGTGCGAATCGTTGTGAATTATAGCGTATGTTTAAGTTAAAGTGCCTGTGGAAATTAAGTGTATTGCAAAGTTGTATTGAGAAAGAATAAACTAGTTTTATTTAAGAAAGGACTTGTTTCGCTAAAGTTTCATCCGAAAGAAATTATACTGGAAATTAACAAACGACCAGAGACGTAACAGTATTATTTGATCAATATAGAGCCGGCGTAGCCCAATTGCTGGTGGACTAGACTATGACTCCAAAGGCCCATGATTGGCATCTTCCTACCATAAAATCGCTCTCTGCACTTTGGGACCAAGAGTGACGGTTAAGTTACATTATTATATTAGAGCAACCAAAGTATTGGTTGTGGGAATTCTTGACTATCTGGTCTATCAGCAATCAGCCCTTGTGTAGCTTTGTGTAAATATCTGATTATTGTTGATGGTTTCGTATTAGTTAAACACAAAGCTACACTACGGGCCATTTTTGTTGTACCCACAACGGATATTGAAACCAGAGTTTTAGTGTTATACGTCTCAGACTCTCCGTTGAGCCACTGGGGGGGGGCGAATACGTGAAACAAATAAACGACACTGATGAATATAAATCAACATATCTTAGTATTCGCTATATTAGGAATTACAATGTCGCAAATATTTCACATATCATAAGAAATCTGTCATACCTGACACTATATTCGAGTATCTTCATCGAAAGGTATTACAGACCTTTTAGAGTCCTTATTGCCATACGCCCTTTAAGTACCATAAAATAGAGAAGGAATATCTAACTGTAATTAATGAAATAAGTATTTTTAGTCTCTATTTAAACCGCATATCAGATAGTGGCGGCACCTGTTTTATTTTACGATTAAGGTCGGTAAGGTCGGTGGACGAAAGGACTACGGTTTTGGAAAGGAAAATACGATTTTAGGTTTAAAGACAGCTTTAAATTTAAGCTCGAAGATGCTTCCTGCTGCTGCACGTTTTGCCATCTTCACACCAACTTAGTAAGTATCGTGATAATGTTATTTTTTTTAGTATTGAAGGAGGCATATTACACTTAAATCTATTTAACAAATTAGAATTGTGTAGGCCTTAAGACTTAAGTTATAATGCTACTACTGCTTGTGACTACTGTTTAGTGTTACGCTAATTTTTATACCAAAAATTGAAAAAGAAGTTTTTACGCAATTAGACTTAAACTTCAAGGAGTGGAATACAGTACAACCTAAATAGCAATAACATAAGTTTTTCATTCTCTATTTACAGATACTTGTACATACTATTGCTAGTTTACTTTAGTACTTATCAAATTAATTTTTATGTAATTCCATTCACCATCTTGATGTGAATCTTTTTATTAACTTCCATCATATTATATAACTTGTTTCTGCATTTTTACTACATTGTTGCAGTAAGAGACCAAAACTGTATATGTTAATTTAATTTTAAATGAGGTTTTTATCAGGGATGTAAACTTCTCACTCAAAGTAATTGGATTCCACATGTCTCCCTCTTAGTCAGTGGTAAGTTTACACATTTACAATGCTAAAATCTAGGGTTCAATTCTCTATGGTGAACAGAGTGTAAATAGCCCATCGTGTTGCTTTGCACTAAGTAAAATAAAACAGCAAATGATTCTACATTTGTAAACGTTTTCTCATTGCAGTCAAACACAATTGAACAAAAGTTATTAAAATTAACTTTTCACATTCAGGCCCATTTGATAAATATAATAAGAAAAATTAACAAATATACCAAAACAGACTCTTGTCTTTCTCTCTTGTAGTTGAACAGATGTCCATTTATCACCATGATTTATACCATCATTTACATTTTCTCTAAACTTTTTGTTTCTGCCAAGTTAAGCAGAAATCAAATTTTCTTATGAAACTTTTCTGTGACTGTTTATCAAATGTTTCCCAAACGTTAAGATATACTGCAACAGATGGTGCTGTCTTTAAAAAAAGATATTCACCATAAAAGAAACTGGTAAATCAGAGACAAATAATCCTAAATAAAATAATAATAACATCCATATGTTTTTCATTTCCGTCTCTATCTGTTTCTGTTATTTTCCTCCACTCTCCTAATTGCATAAGCTAAAGGTTGAAATTTCTAATCTATCACCTCAATTGTATTTAGGATAAACTAAGATTTCTACTCCAACCTTCAAACTGCACATCTTCACAGCTAGCTTCCTTAAAGTACATGCCAGTCCTGAGTTTCCACATAAAACCCATTCCTTGCACGTTAGGTGTAATCCATGGATGCACATTAAAATGCCATATATGTTGTAGTAATTACTCGTTATTTTCATTAATACAAAATTTATTAAAATGCTTAAATCTGCATTATTGTACTGTTGACTCTACCCTAAACATTCATGCCCCCTGGGGGGACATGACCCACACTCTGGGAAATGCTGTCTTCACTCTTCAACTGTGATATCATGCAATGAGTAAATGCTGTTTTGCTGTAAATTAAAAGTTCAACAAATATTAAAGCTTGCTGTTTTTAGTTTCACATTTCACTAGCTGTGATAGCATGGACTGATTAATTTCTTTTGTGTTATGAACCAGAAGTATTAGGATTATTACACCTTTAGGTCCATTTCACCAGCTTTGGTATTAAGCACTAACTGTTGTTTTGTTATGAATCAGAAGTACTTGTACTGTATATCTACTAACATTAACCTGTTATACTTAACAAAACATATACTGTATATATATATATATATATATACTAAATTAATATACTATGCTTAACAAAACTTGTACTGTATATCTACTAACATTAACATGCTATACTTAACAAAACTTGTACTGTATTTCTACTAGCTTTAACACTAGCATTTGGTATCAAACTGTAGATTATAATTCAAATTTTAAAACTAAACACTACTCAATTTCATAATTTAAAAGTAAATATTAAAAAAAAAATAAACATCAATTTTTGTGTGTCACGTGGTATGTTGAATGCATCACTGGTTCAAATTAGATGCTTGTGAAGTCAAAATACTAAGTCTACAGTTTTGTACGAATTAGAAATTCAAGTTACTGATATTAACAAGCTAGAATAAAAAATAAGAACATTATATCTTTTCTATTTGCTAAGATATTGCTCATGTAATAAATCAAACATAGTGGCACCCCTTCCACCTCTTTCCATTTTTGGAAATGCTCCCTTATATACACATACTTCTATATATGTCATGAATAGCCAATCAAAAGCTGAGAATGTCCCCCTAGTGGCTTTCTTGGCCATTTTAAATTCTTAGGATGCCAATTCTTTCTTTTGAACCAAGATTTCAAGAAGTATGTTGTGTCTTTAGTCTGCTCAAAATTTCATATTTTTTTAGACTAAATACAGCTTAGTTACTAATCTTAATAAATTATAGTTGAATTCTATGGTATTGATGTAGTAAGTTGATTTTTTAGTTATCCAAATGTTTATATAAAACCAAAAAAAAATTGTTTCATATCCTCCATGTGCACAATTTTAAAAGGCTTTAGAACCTACATCAAGCAGCAACTGAGTACAAAGGTTGTAACTAGAAAAGATAATTATTTTCTTTACTTCTTTATTTACTGTTCTATGTTTTAAGAAAAATAAGTTTAAGAATGTTTTTATTTGAATAGCAATAATCTATATACATATATACATGTATTAAACGTTTTCTCATTGCAGTCAAACACAATTGAACAAAAGTTATTAAAATTAACTTTTCAC